ACATTTCGCATGAAGGAGTTCCTGCATTGCTGGAGGTGCTGAGGCTCTAACCTATCTGCCCTATCTGATAATCTGTACACTACCTTTCGATGAAGATATCTGCTAGAAGTTCTACGAAAACTAAACAATTCAAATGGATCAAGTTCCTTTCGAAAAACTTGTGGATTTCTTGCTCTCATTTCAATAAATGAAACTTTGTTTTACATTATAATGCTGATATTTTTATTTCTCATTTACCCATGCCATTAATAATAAGAAATACATATGTAAAAAAAGTAAAAAGTTTTTAATAATCATAGGAAAAAAGATTTACAAAAGTTTTTTTCAATGAAAAATCATATGTACAATTGTAAGCGACAATCGTGATCTAGTAGAGAATGAAACGAATAATGCTAGATTGCAAAAAAGCAAAAGAAATAAATGGATAGATCTAACGAAGAAAATAGCAGTGACTGGTAAGTAAGTGAGTTAGGAAAGATATTACAGATGCATCGACGGTGGAAACTCGCAGCAATTCCTTACACAGCAGCCATGATCGAATTGCAAAACTCAATTTTTCTTTTCTTCTGGTCCTTGCAAAAATCTTTCTTTCTCTAACTGTTCCTTCAAAATTTCCATTCTAAGATCGTGTTCCGGCTTCATAATTTGTATTTCTAAATTGTGCTTTTCTTCCATATAACGCAACGTTTCATCCATTTTTTTCGTTTGCAATTCGAGCATGGCTACTTCGTAGGCTGTCATATTCTTTTTTATCTTCTTTGGTACTGGCTCAGGCGAGGTCCTATCCCCATGACTTCTTTTTCCAATTTCCGTGGAACACGACGGATCTGCCTGAGGTAGGTTCGACTGTATAAGTACTAATTCACTAAAATATATTTTAATCAAATTAAAAATTGCTACTTGTCATTTTTATAAATTAATCATCAATCACGCAGATGTAAATCTTTGGGACGTAAAATACATTATAAACAAATAAGGAAGATGACAATATGAATACGAATATATCAAGTATTATTATACCCAGTTGTCGGATCCAGTTCGTATGTGACTTCATTCTCAGACTTTTCCACCTTGTTCAATGTTGGGTACGTTCTTCTCTGCAAATATGAATATATTTCGAATAATATATGTAATAATGTAGATTAATATAATTAATTAAAAATTATAATACAAATAATACATACTAGGCTATCGGAATCGTGGGGATTTTCGTCCTCCACAAAATCTTCGGGGCAAATTTCACTGATTGTGAAATCGAGCCCGGAAGATTCTGGGAGTGCAGGACCTCCGCCTGTACCAGTCGCATGCTTGCGATAGCAAGAAATAGTCTTCTTTGCTGCGAGTTTCCACCGCTGATATGCACCTCTAATATCTTTCCAATCCCTCTTAATTCCAGTCGTTGCCATTTTCTCTGTTAGTTCTTTCACTGATTGTGAAATCGAGCCCGGAAGGTTCTGGGAGTGCAGGACCTCCGCCTGTACCAGTCGCATGCTTGCGATAGCAAGAAATAGTCTTCTTTGCTGCGAGTTTCCACCGCTGATATGCACCTCTAATATCTTTCCAATCCCTCTTAATTCCAGTCGCTGCCATTTTCTCTGTTAGTTCCATCCATTTGTCTCTTCTACTCTTTTGCAATCTAGTATTATTTGCTTTATTCTCTAATATATCACGATTGTCGCTTACAAATTGTACGACTAACGCTTTTTCCTCGATGGTGAAATTCTCTTTTCGTTGCATGGTGACCTACAACGATTTACATGTTTGTCATTTTCATGTCATGGCTGTTATATAATAGTTATACATACTAACCACATTTACATGATTTTAATGTATTCATTTAATATTAATAGCTTACCTTCAAGAAAGAGAATTCTTGTGATTTCGAATTTGAAACATGGTTGGTATGTGCACCAAATATGAAGTTCGCGCTTTCCGAATGCCACCGAATACACCTGGACATAATCGAATATGCCCGAGTCTTCCCGAATGATTCCGAACGCGGTTGAAAGTACATGTTAGAAGACGCTACTCACTGTTAGCGTGCCTTTAGCTAAAAGCGGCTTAAAAGCGAGTTCTGAATACGGTCACTAACAACTCGGCGCAGTCACTTTTAACTAATAGTGACTCTGTTAGTGACCTTAACACATTCACGTCGGATGACGCCTAATGTCGTCATTTAAGATTTTCCCTTGGGTGCGGATGACGCTTTATGTCGTCATTTAAGTTATCGTTTAACTATTCTTTAAAAATATCATTTTTTCCACTTATTACTAGATTTTTTCCATATGTAGACACTAATAATAAACTGAGGAATGTTTTCCCAATAATATGCTTTATCTTTTCTTATCGTTTCTTCCTTTATACGTGTATCTATACTTATTCATTGTTTGGCCGCTACTTATCGAAACCAGCACATGAGTCCCGTAAATAAGCACTCTGTATTGTGTTCGATTATCGCTCTACAAATCTATCCTCAAAATATATTCTCTTTTTTATTTATTCAAAAGATATTTAACTAGGATTTTAGGAAATTTGAAATGGAATATTACCTAGTATCTACTCTCATTTTTGTGTATAAACAAGTCCTATGCTCCCTTCTTTAAAATTTCATACTGAAATATTAATTACATAAAAAGTTATAGTAATTTTTCTAAACCTATGCGCGACTGTAACATTTGACAAAAAACGGCCCCGTACCCACGGTAAGCACAGCCAGCAAACGCCCCGTCGCGAATGTGTTAAGAGCGAGTTCTGAATACGGGCTTTAGTGTTATTGGCCTAGTGTAAGCAAGTCTTGCGGGCTGACTCGCGACGTCATCTATGCTCCGTTTAAACGCGCTCTGATTGGTCGCATTACTGCAACTTCAACCTTGATTATCTCGAAATTTTGATATATGAAATAAAAAATAAAAATATACGTATTCATTAGAATTTGACAAGGAATGCAACGACGTTACTACAGTGCGTTTCATAACGAACACCCTGTATATTGTTATGCCGTTATGAGTTCTTTAGGATCACTAATAAATAATTGCACTGATTTGGAATAATATAAAGAGCGATTAGAGTTTATTCATTTTTGTATGATGTAAGTACGAAGGTGACGCAATAACTAATAGTAGAAGGCACAATGAAAGTGATTATTCACGACAAATGGAGTACGCTCCAGGACTTCACTCCTAGCTAGGAACTTTGCGAGTGACTGCTGTGACTCACAAAGTGCCCCACATGGCTTTTATCTTAACGCCTTATGCATAGGGTCAGCATTCGCCTAATGCTGACTTTGCGTCTGGAGATTAACAATAGCGTGAATTCTGTCATGGGACATAACAATATAGAAAATAATGTTTCACATAAATAATATCAGGTTTATAAGAACTATTCGAATTCGTACAGATTTATACTCTGTTTTGCTTAAAATAAATGCCTTGTACAAGATCCAAAAACTTTTTTTTCCATAAGATTGCCAGTCCCCTTATCCCATAAAGAAACTTTAAGCTGATACATCTAATGATTGTAGAAAAAATATGTTGTAACATATGGGCATTCTTGTATAAATTTAATTTATAAAATACTAACTTATATGCAGCAACTTGATTAGACAGCCTAGAATTTAAAGATGTTTCATTAAAAAAAGAGTAGCTACTCATATCATTGCCACTGCTATAGAAATCTCCAGCTCCTGTCACAACAAGCATATGAATGCTTTCATTTGATGCTGATTCATTAAGGAGAATAGTCATTTCTTCATACATCTGTAAAAAAATAAATTTGTGTTATTTTTCATAGATTTAAAAGTTATGTTTGCCAAGTTGATGTAGGAAAACTCTCTAATATCTAACAGTTATCTATAATTAATTGTTAGATCTTATATTATGCACATAACACAATGAATTGAATCAAGATAATTATACTTTGCAGCACAAAATTAAATTTTATTAAATAGAACAATGTATATACTGGATGATTTTAAAATATTCATAAATCACCCAGTTTCTAGAAGGAAATAGACTAAAAAAAAGGTAAACATACGATAATTGATTTGAATTGATTGCCCATTCTCTTTGTGAAGTAACTAGTATCGCATTTGAGTAGCAATGAATTAATTATTTCAACTGACATTTATTGATATGAAATAATTTTAATATGATCAACCATCATATTTCACTTAATAAATGAATTATATTATAATTCATTTTACACTAAAAATAAAAAGTTTAACTAAAAATATAATTTAATATTAATAAAGTATGACAAAAGTACAATTACTTTTAAAAACATCAAGATAACTCAGAAAAAAATGTAAAAAATGAGATTATTTAGATTTTCATAAATCATAATATTAGTAATGTATTCAGAGTACAGTGTGAAATGACCCTATTTAATAAAGATAAAACTGTATGTAAATAGAGTCAATGATAAAAAAACAATTTTAGGATTTTAGATTATTGCATGCTTTGAAAACGCCAACCCACACAGCATTTTATATCCATAGGATGTTCACGATATCCAAAGTGAATGTCCACTGGATATCTATATCCAGTTATGGGTATCCTATAGATATCCCTAGGATATCCAAAGTTCCCACTCTTGGATATTTAGGCCCATACTCATACCTCTCTTTTAGCGTTAAGGCCAGGTTACTCCTAAAAACGTGATCACACACTTTGGAATATAAGGCTCAATAATTTTTCTACTCCAACAAAAAAAAAACCTTAAGGCCCGTACTCATACCTCTCTTTTAGCGTTAAAGACGTCTTTTATCGACTGCTATCTGCTGTCTTTTAATGACTAATAGACGTCTCCAAAGACGTCTTTAAGGCCAGGTCACTCCTAAAAACGTAATTTTTTTCAATAAATTTTATTTATACTAGAAAACATGTTGAGTAATAAATTTTTTTTACATATGAAAGCACATATATTAAACTACTTGAAAAAATTTTTTTTTTTTTATTTCAAAATGGCTGCTGAAACTCGTCCGATTAGTAGATGAGTGACATCATTTCTTGGAAACGAATTATCTGAAAGCAAAAAACAAAACGGTTTCATGTTCTGTATCGAATTGGCTATGGCCTCAAGCAGAATGAAACATTTTCAATTAAAAAAAAAAACAAAATGGCGGACTTTTGAATTTTTTTACCTTCTTTTTTCACTTTCAATTGTTTATAACTTTTTTAAATAACATTGAATATTTCTGGTTCTGCTTGAGGCCATAGCCAATTCGATACAGAACATGAAACCGTTTTGTTTTTTGCTTTCAGATAATTCGTTTCCAAGAAATGATGTCACTCATCTACTAATCGGACGAGTTTCAGCAGCCATTTTGAAATAAAAAAAAAAAAATTTTTTCAAGTAGTTTAATATATGTGCTTTCATATGTAAAAAAAATTTATTACTCAACATGTTTTCTAGTATAAATAAAATTTATTGAAAAAAATTACGTTTTTAGGAGTGACCTGGCCTTAAAGACGTCTTTGGAGACGTCTATTAGTCATTAAAAGACAGCAGATAGCAGTCGATAAAAGACGTCTTTAACGCTAAAAGAGAGGTATGAGTACGGGCCTTAAGGTTTTTTTTTTGTTGGAGTAGAAAAATTATTGAGCCTTATATTCCAAAGTGTGTGTCTCATGAGTAAAAAATTATATAATGCTCACAAAGACATTAGTACTGTGTCATATTTTATTTTGGGAGCTGGGTCCGAACCCCGAACCTTTCGGTCGTGAATCCAGTACCTTAACCACTGAGCTACGGACATCTATAAAGTCTTTTCAGTTAGCACATTATTAATTACATAAGATCATTATATTCGTATACGTGCTGCTCCATGGCACTCGGAGGGACACGAAATAGGAAAGAATAAATGGTCAGAGAGTAACCAACTAAGGGCCTCAGAAAGATCCACTATTAGTAAATCCGATAATATTCCGCTAGTCCCAACGAATAGTGAAAATTTCATATGACGATGTAAAACTTAACATACAAGATGTTTAACTGGAAAGCAAGGTTCTTTTGTTACAACTTCCACTCTTTTAAAAATATGTCAATGCAGAATAAACTACTTAATGACCTTGCCATCTACTAATTTTATATTTAAGATGCATTATCGTTTCTGACACACGTATTTAAAAAAAAATGTATGGATTTCCAGAGAAATTACAGAATATCCACAAGTGGAAACCTTGGATATCTTATGAATATAAATTTAGATATTGAGGATATCTTCTGGATATCCTGTGGATATGAACAGCCAATGATATCCTATGGACATCAAATGCTGCATGGGCACAAATAAGTGCGGATGAACCAACATGCTAAACATCAGCTTCATGTGATCAATAAACTTAATATTAAAAAGCTTTAAGGTATCACATATTATAATCAATATCAATATGAATATCAATATGAATATCAATATATATATATATAATAAAAGAAAGTGTAGTATGTTTGTGTGCGTAGCTTTATCTCCACAACCAAACCCTAGAGCCTCATGAGGGTTATATGGTGTGGTAGCACACCATCCCCCATTGAATAAGTTTATGTTTGGAAATAAATATCCTTTCAGGATATTTCAGGTTATTGAGAAAATTCAGTTTTTTCATACAGTGTCTCTCGTTGTGAAGCTAAACGTATTTCTCGCTTCCCATTTGATTCATTTCTAGAAAGTTTCAGAAAATTCAATACAATTCCATAGAATACTTCAAAAAATTCTGGAAAGTTTCAGAAAATTCTAGAAAGGTTCAAAAAATTTTAGAAAGATCTGGAAAATTCAATAGAGATCCATAGAATATTTTAGAAAGTTGCAGAAAATTCGATAGAATTCCATAAAATGTCCCAGAAAGTTCTAGAAAATTCCAAACAGTTCGAAAAAATTTCATATAATGTTTCAGATCATTCTAAGAAGTTCTAGAAAATTTCCAAGAATTCCATTTAACTTTGCTTCAACAAAGCAAGGGCAATTTGTTAGTACTAACCTAAATATTGTACCAGTATCATGGGTTTAAAAGAAGTAATATATATATCGTTGAATCAGATGTAATGAAACTTGTACAAAATATAGAAATTAGAATTATTAATTGAGCTACATTAAATATATCATTAATCACACCAATCTTCAAAAAAGCTTAAATACTCAGAGATAAGTTAGATATACCTTTTGTAATATTAACATGGTAATGCCATTATATTGTTTCAAACCGTATATTTTACTACTATTATATAAAGTACATACAACAGTGCATAAACCCTGCCTACTATTGTATGAAACTTTTACTACATAACATTGTACTTTTAAAAGTTATTTATTTGTTGGGAGTCATACCTCTTGAGTAATAGCATTTTTCTTAGTAGGTCTATTAAGAGTTATTTTTTGAAATCCATTATTTACTTCACTTATAACGTTGCGCATCACATTACTCGTCATTTTTAACAAAAATGAATCGCAAACAATTATGCATGCCAAATAATTATAAAAATCGTAATAAACTCATGTTAAGACCGCGGTTAAGACCCACTTTCCTCGAATACGATGAGCGCGAAGCACGAAAGTTCCGAGTATCATTGTTAGATGGCGCCGTGATAATGTTGTTGTGACGTATGCGACAACGTTCGATATAGTCTCTTTTAGTACAAATCCCCACTCATAGGCAGCACTACAAGATAGCTTGTGTGGACACACAACGTCATCACACGGCATCGTGTAAATGCGCCTGAAATTAGGGCAATAATAGAAACGCGCCTTAAGCCAGGGCATCGTGTGAACGCGCCCTATGAAAAAGCGACGCTACGCCTCGCGTGGCGTCAGTAGCTAGTAGACAATGGCCAGTAGTCAGTAGAGATGGTTCCTATTCAACGTCAGTAAGCAATA